CCAAATGCCCAATATTGTGTATCTATTGCGCAGCTGTCTATCATTATTTCCCTAAATGTGTCAAAGCTCGAGCTCGAATAATCAATAATTTATAATTGCATTGAATATCGTAATTACTGATATTTTTATCTCCGGTTCATATGTATAATGAATGAAAACAAAAATGGTCTTAACAATTAATTTTTATGATTTCAACGGCAGTTGCAAGAAGCGTACACATGCTTCGTTCATTATTTACTTGATCGAGTGAATTATAATATATTTACGATTGCAAAAATTACATTCTTCGGATTTCCCACGTTGAATTATTTGTAATTGATGTAAATTAAACGAGAAGTGCATTTCGACGACATTCAAAATCGACGTAAACAAGAATATTTACTTGCATAGGAAAAATAACTGATTCGCGCGAGTTTAATCGTGCAAATCGACTCTGATTCTAAATATAAATATAAAAAAATTCTGTACAAGGAAGTTTATCAATGATCCGAGCTTCCACCGTCGATTGCAAATACATTGTCGGAACTCTACCAAGCCAGCGTAAACGCATATATTTACTACAGAAGATATTTAACAATATCGAGAGAGATGAAACGGTGAAATATATAAACATTGTTTACCCAATGATACACACGCATGATAATGAATCGATGATGGCATATGGGGACTTCTTTGAATTTTCTAATCTCTCGTACATATACTGTATGATTTTTTTTGCGCAAATAATGATTAAATTTAAATTGATTTTTCGTATATATAATGTGTATTTATGTATACGCGGCGGTGCACTGTGCTCACATATACTTGTGCGCGCGCGAGATATCGTTTCCGGCCGTGATCTTTATCTCTCTTCGGCGGAGTCGAAGAAGCCAAGCCTTAATTTTTTGAGTGACTCGCGGGGTGTACGTGCGAGCGAGCGAGCATGTATTAAGGTAGATAAATTTTTGCACCCATTCCGTCAGTTTCTGACCAAGTTTAAAAAAGCTCGCGTATACTTTTTTGCACGCACTTTATAATACATGTACAGCTCGCGAGTCGAGCCTGCTCAAGTTGCGCCCGTACACATGCACACACGTACATAACTAAAACGCAAGTATTCCAAGAACGTCGACACAAGCGAAAATACTTGGCTTTTTTCGAGCTTTGAGAGTATGATTCTCAGCCATCGCAAAATAATGCACGAGTTTACCTGACTCGAGTTTAATTTTTTTTTACTTTTTTTTGTTGATTCAAAAAATTCGCTCGCGCAACAATTTTGTATTACGATACTTGATTCAACTAAAATTACTTAAAAATTGACTGACAAAGATAATTCAAAAAGTGTAAGCTTCAATGTTTCACATGGGATGTAAATATCTTTTAACATCGCTAAAAAAAATTTCGCGCTCAACGTAGTTTCAAACCGAGCCAAATGAACAAATTAACGTAACTCGAATAAACTTTCCCAAACGAAATGATATCGCGGGGTAATTTTCCGCACGCAAGCGCCTCTTCCAAATTCAGTTAAATACTTTTCCTTTAATCTGCATAGAATAAGTTTCCAATAATTAACTCTGAAAATGATGTTGTTGTTTTTAAAAATGCTTTCCGGACTATATTTTTCTATACGGTTATTCGTAATGATTTACGTTACTGACGTCTAGGTGTCAATATTATGGCTTTATTACCACAGTCGTTGTGTGAGTTTGCGGCTCGACATGACAAAGCGTCGTAATAATGAAATCAGGTTTAAAATGATCTCATTACGAATGAATACGTTAACGTTTCAATTAACATATCAGTATTTACTAAAGCGCAACCTTTCAATCTTTTATCGTGAAAAGAGCTTGAGCAGATAAAATCCATCTGAAGATAAGCATTGTTCAAAAATTTACGTATAGGCACTTTTACGGTTTACGTGAGGTTTAAAGCGTGACGTTCTTAAATAATATGCATTCAAGCGCCTCATACCCATAGTGAGTCTAAGACTAAACAAAGAAAAACTATTGGTAAAAATTGAAAAAAAAACCAACGGTTTGACGAAATTTTGTCAAACGAAATTGCTTCCTTTGCAGATAAGTTTACGATAAATAAAATACCGAAAAGATCAGGGTTGTGAAAATTTGTTATAAAAATGCATTACATACGTGCATTTACAGTAATATAATGCAAACAAGAAGTAAAATGTATACGATAATTGAATTCGTAGAAACGGTTTAATATTATGTACTTATCGTTCACGTAAGATATTTTTACATTTCAATCGAAGCGGCGCAATCGCGGAGCAGTAGTAGTTGCGTTTCGAGCGAATCATTTTTTTTTCTTCTTTTTTTTGCAAGAACTGTTCACTATTCAAAATCCTGATAGCGCAATACGCAAGAGATTGATTTCGCAATGCCGCGCTGCGCACACAACTGCATAAACATTAACGAACTAGCGCGTTATAAAAAGCCATTGCCATTTTTACACATTGCTGGCGCGCGGTCGAGTCGCGTATGTTATACAGCGCGGCGCGAGAGAGGCTCGAATGAGACGAAGACAACAACAACAAAAAAGAGTTTATACGATTGTTTTTCGCAACGCCCGCAGGCGAAACAATTGCGGGACTTACTCGCGCGCGCACGGCTAAACGAATAATCATCATCTCCGAGGAAGACAGAAAAATAATCCATCGTATCAAGTAGAGCCCAGGAAGCTTATTACATTATGCAGTTATAGTCGCCGAGACGCATGTGCATATTATAATCAGCCGCATGCACAGGGAGCAGCAGCAACAGCAGCCACACGTGAGGCGCCAGAAAATGTATTCACGATTCATCGCCGTTGATTCGGGGCGAACAATTTGGCGCGCGCGTAATCGCGCTAATAACAGAGCGGACCTCGTTCGTCGACGCCATGACGTCGTCGACTCGACTCGACGCGACTCGTCACGTAGCCGAGTACATCCTGTGGCAAGTATATATACGGCCAGTATATCTGTGTACATTCATTACACCTGCGCGACGAAGCTTGTATTAGCCGCCGCCGAGAGAGTAGAGAAAGCGAAAGCCGAGTTTATATTTGGCAAGAGGCGCGACTTGCGTGGGACGATGATTGTGATCGAGTCGATTAAAACGATTAATCGATTCGGTGATCGCATACTCGTCTAAAAATATAAATTTACATTATTCTTTTGCATTATTTTTGCGATTATCGCATTACTAATATACAACGACTGACAAATGAAAAAAATAATAATCACAAGGGTTCGGAGGCAGATTAAGTCATCAACGTTATATAAACATCATATCTATATTATTAAAGTTTCATTTGGTAGCGATCGCAATGACAGGCCTCTGGCAGATTGCTTACAACCTGTATACGAGCCTGTAGAAACTACGAAAATAACAATGAAGCCTGGCTTTTCATCAATTGATTCAGACAATGACTCATTTAAAAAACTTGATGACATTTTAATTTAAAAAATCTAATATATAATATACGCGAACTATAGTGTAAATAAAACTAACAGACATTTAGACGCGTGAGATAACGTTTATTTGCACGATTTATAATATTCTACTAGTTTCTACGCTTATCTCGATACGATATCAAGGTATTTATCGTTTTCATTCACGCCGATTATGAGCAATGATCATTCTTATTATTAGTCTCACTCTCTCATACAATTATGTAAAATCAATATCGACAGTTTCTCGCTACGACACACACAAAAAAAATAGTTTATTCACTTCCAATGTCATATTGTCAACGATAACGGAAGTAATTTTTTTTACTTGATGCGTACGTACTCTGATAGATTAGAATCGCTGATACAGCTGTTTTATGCACACACACTCGTACACACTAACGCAAAAATAAAATCTCAAACGCTATTCAATTAAAAAAGTGTATGCAGTTGCAGGTTTGGAAAAAATTTCATTTTGTTACGATGAATTCTCAAGTGTCGAAAAAGTAAAGAGAGCGCTGCGTTGAAAGTTTACATCGACGCGATAATCGCGAATAGTTAAATAACAACGGCTATTGCGTTGTTAAATTTCGATGCCTACACGGGAACAAATAGTTAATTGTGCAAATTAGCCCGGGTTTAGTGGAGTATTATATATAACAAGCGCGAAGAAAAACAAAACCACGACAAAACACGACGCATTAATCACTATGTTTCACAGAGTATCATTTCCAACGTATTAGTTTATAGCTTCAATTATGCAAATAAACATATAAACACACCTCTCGTGCGAAGATTAATCGACACGATATGGCTTTATAGACGCGCAGTCGATCTGTCAAAGAAATAGACTCGTTCATTTTTGCGCCGAGTAGTAGTAGTAGTAGTAGTAGTGACTCTGAGAGACGTTTCACGCAGCTTCGAGAGAGAGAGAAAAGAAGAGAGGAGAAAATAACCCCTTTTCGTCAAAGGTGCGAAAACACTAATCAGAGTGTATGGCGTATACTGCATGGGTTTACGTACAATGAGGTATACATTTAATAACGAGGCGGCACACAATGCGTTGTTCGGTGCACACACATACACACACACATACATGTATACACACACACGCTTCACTGCCTGCTGCTAATGCTGCCTGTGTGACGTTCGAAAGAAATTGAGAACTTTACGCAGCTGCCAATGTCACGTGCACGCGCTCACGGCACGAAAAATTATGTTGCGCTCGCGCTTATTATTGAACCTGATTTTCATCGCGTTTTCAATAAAAATAAAATCTTGATTTCGCGAGGCACAAACATACACGCGCGTGTTATTTAAATTTTTTCCCCGTCGTTCGACGGACTATTACGATGAAACATCGATCGTAATCGCGCGAGTTTCGTCTTTCACTTGCTAAACGAATTTTACATGAAATATCGTCACTCCAGTTGATTTTTTGAATATGAGTTTCTGACATTCTGGGAATGGGCAGAGATAAGGATTACGAGGAAATACGTGCAAAATTTCAGATGAACGAGTCTTTTACGAAGATGTGTGCAACCGATTAATGTGTCATGTATATTCAACTCACCGCTGTCGAGTCCTCGAAGAGGTCCATTCGGACTGCCACTCGTCGACACACCTTCGTCCTCACTGGCGCTATCACTGGCCTCACTAGCGCTGTAACTTTGCCGCTCGGAGCTAGTTATTTTGGTATTTTTCGCGAGTACATTGTTCGTGCCGTTGTTGTTATCGTGTTGCTGTTGCTGCTGCTGCTGCTGTTGTAGCTGCTGCTCTTGTTGCCGTTGCTGCTCCTGTTGGCGCTGCAACATAGCTCGGACCTGCAATTGTTCGTGCACAGTCCTGGCCCGAGCGAGCTGCTGGAGCTGCTGTCGATGCTGCTGCAGCGAGCCGACGGAGAAGTCGAGCGGCTGATCGACGTCCATACTGGAGCTCTGTGCCGGCTGCTGAGCCGACGACGAGTTGGCGCGCGCCTGCTGCTGCTGAGCTGACTTTGACGTTTGCGACGTCGATACCGGGACGACGGTTTGGCTGGCCAAACTCGAGAGGACGAGCTGCGACACTTGGTCGGCTTGCGAGGCCGATGCTGCGGCTGCTGCTGCTGCTGCCGTGCTCCACAGTCCGAATTGCGGTACGTTGGCTTGCATCGAGCGCCAGGCCTCGATGGTGTTGTTATTGGTCGGGCTCGTTTGTTTCGGTACTTTGTTTTGGGCGAGTTGCTGTTGCTGCTGTTGCTGTTGCTGAGCCACCATTGCCTCCGCGACGTTGTTGCTGCCCTCGAGTAAGTGCATGCTCGGGGTTTGGGTCATGGGCGACGCGAACGGGGTCGATGGCGGGCTCGAGTCGGAGGGCCTTCGTCGCGACGCTTGTGCTTGCTGAGTCGACGACGAGGAGGACGACGAGGGTATCCTCTGAGAGCTACTGATCCCGTACGACTGAGCAGTGGATTGTTGCTGCTGCTGCTGCAGATAAGGAAGCAGAGCCGCTGGGGTCTGGCTGGTCGGCAGTGCCGGGCGTACCGAGCGGGCTGCCTCTGCGACCCAGCGGCGTACCGCCTCGCTGTCGAGGCCCGCCAACCCTGCGGTCTTCGTTTTTGCACTGCTGGTCGCCAGCCCTAGACGCTGTTCTTGCTGCTGTTGCTGCTGCTGCTGATGGTGGTGATAGAACGCCAGCTGTTGTTCGAGCTCGAGCTGATGCTGTTGCTGCTGCTCTAGCTGCTGCTGCTGCTGTAGATGCTGCTGCAGGCGCAGGTGATGGTCCTGCAGTAGCGCGAGGCCCTTCTCGTTGAGCGAGCCGGGCAACGCTGCGAGCACCCCGCTGCCTGCCACCGCGCCGCCGACTCTTTGACCTGGTGCGGCGGCCGACTGCCGCCTTGGCTCTACCAGCAGGCCGTAGCCGTTCAACGCCCCCGCAAAATCCAACGTGTCGTTGTCGGCGCCTCGCGGGTAAATCTCATTCAGAGCTGCTGCGGACGGGCTGCTTACGATTAACTCGCGCGTATCAAACACACAAACGACGAAGAGAACAAAAGCACAACGAGAACCGAAAATGAACACACGAAACACCACGAGACACACGTGCTGCTGTTATGATACCTCTACTGTCACTGCTGTCAGTTGTGTATATTACACCACTGTACTACTACGCGCGACTGTCACTTCTTGTCTTGTACGCACCCCGATGCATTCAGTAATATAAAAAAGATGCGCCTTGCACACACTTGCACACTGTATTCAATCGCTATTGATGTTCATAGGGCGCCTGTATATAAGAAACTGCGGCTGCTGATGCTGCACCTGTCACGCATACAATATAATAGGAAAGCACGAGGCAAGCGAGATTCGTCGAACTGTCTGCTACGGGGGCCGCCGCTGTTTTTAAAAGACGAGCGCCGCGCACCACTACTGACAAACGACGATCGGCTGCTGACGCTGCTCTATGTATACACGCGCAGAACGAAAACAACAACAACACAACCACAACAACATTACACTATAATATATAAGTCTCGATGTTTTTCCGCTTACACTTGTTTTCTGCTTATTAAAAAGAGAGAAATGGACGTTTTATCGTGAAAACTCGATTCGATTCGCACTATTGTTACGATGTAGAGACGCAACTGAGAGGTTTGCACTCCACGACGCACGACGACGACGGCGGCTCGTCATCGACTGACAGCCGAGAGTGGACTGTTGCGCGTTGTGCCGCCAAAAATCTTTACGATACGCTGACGCACCAAGACTCGTGGCTTATCAGTATACAGAAGGCGTGTTCCATTGCCATTCGATATTTGCCTATCTAACGTAGACAGCTCACATACACGTCACACGTCAACGCGCGTAAACACACTTTGCATTGATTTGTTTACATATAGTAGAAATATATGTTTTGGGTTTTTTTTTCTTTGTATAAAAAACAAGATGACAACGTGCGTTTGTTCGTTGGGTAGGTTTATACTGCGATATTCTGCTAGTACAAATGGAGAGAGCTGATAAAAGATGCAGTATGCGCTTTGTGCGTTGTCAACGGCGCAGACGGCTGCGGCGACGACGTCGTAGCACCGATGCTGTCGCGTGCATGTGTGCAGCAACACTATACGAGCGAGCCAAGAGCAGCCGGCAGCCGAGCCATCCTCGTCGTAAAATATACACACGAACGTCCGCGCCTATAGCGTGCGGGTCGGGGCGGCCGACCGCGAGAGAGAGAAAACGACTTCTCTCTCTTTCTGCCGTGCGCTGTATGTGTGTGTGCAGCAACGCGGGTGGGGGAGTCGTTCTCTCTCGCGCAGCGCGCAGGCACGAGTCAGACAAGGACGACGACCACCGCCACAGCAGCAGCAGCAGCAGTCAGCAGCAACGCGAGTAAAGAGCCGAGCGAGCAGAAGCCCAGTGCAGTATGTGTATGTATGTAAGAGTCGCTGGCAGTTTCGTGAAGCAGCAGCAGCAGCACGCCAACTTGCGCTCCCGAGCCATGCACTGCATACGATGTGCTGCTGCACAGAGAGCGAGACAGAGAGAGAGAGAGAGAGAGGGAACTCGCGAATTCGCGCGCGCGCGCAGGCAAAGCTGACACACAGTCACATGCCCGAGAAGCCGCGCGTTGTACACACTATACATACACGCACGCGAATATACAGTATATGCAGGCAAAGCGTAGATACGTACGACTATACATCGTATACACATTCGCGCGCATGTATACGAAGGTAGTGCTATATAGCAGAAGGAAAAGTTGCTGCCGCCGCTGCTCGTGCTGCGCGCAAGTCGAGTTCGTATCAGCGCGCGATATATACACGCGCCGCTGGGGACTATGTGTGTTGTATGTATATACAGCGAGAGCAGTAGTGCGGGGGAATCGCGAGGAGTTCGCTACACCAACTCTGCTGCCGCTGGTTTCTGCTCCGTCTGTCGGGATCGCGGTGGGGGGCCAATAGTCCGCGCCTGCCGCCAGCACCGGTCACGCCCACGGACAGCGCGAGATATCCGCCAGGCGGGATAAGCGATTTTCTCTACGTATATACATTGCATATCACAGCGACTGCTGCACACACATGTGTGTGCGTGTGATTATGCTCGTTGTATAGCTCGAGAATCGAGTCGTGGATGAATGCATGCTCCAAAGCAACGCAGATGTATGCATCTATGATAATTGCATTTGCATGTGGGCTGGTAAATTGGTAATATTTGTCACTCGGGTAACTGTATATTCTGTGAACCTTTTACCCAAACGAGCAAGAACGAATGGTACGACAACAGCTCGATAAGCATCGGGTGGGCTAGTAACACTGACGATCGCTGATAGATTCGTCAGTCGCCGTCTGGATTAAGCGAAATTGAACGATCGAACTTTTTCTCCTGTGAGCATGCTTGCAAAGTACTTGAATGTATATTATGTACAATTGTATATTACGTGTAATTTTCATCTCTTCAATTTTGGCTACATTCATCAAGTGTTTACACTCAAGATTTATTTATGTAAATTACGAGCTAATAACACTAAAGTCTTCGTTGCATATCTTTAAGATGTCAAGTCAACACATACACTTTGTGCATGCTTATACAAATATTATACCTACTCTGTACTGTATAGTATTATTATACCGTACTTTTTTCCTGGATAATGAATAAGTCCTTCGTAGAAACATATCACCCCTCGTTCCAATACTATACACATATAGTACGGGCGCTCTGGTATATGATCGACGATTCGATGGTGCCGGGGATATAATATAAAACTACGCTGCTAATGGCCGCTGTCATCCATACCAACTCGCTCGAGCTCTCCTGTGTAAGCAGAAGGTTAAAGGGTTGAACGGCAGAGCGGACGTATTATTGTAAGGCCAAAACGATAATCCAGCAGCTCGCTCATATTGGGTGTACGTGAGGCGTACACGAGACGGGGTAAACGAACGCCACGTGACCCCGTAATGCGTCACTGTATATTTAGTCGACGGCATTTATATACCGAGTAATATATCCAGCGTGAAATAGTTATACCTTATATTACAGGAAATTTCGCGGACTACGCGCACACACCCGCATAGCTCTGTGTATGCTATAATGCTTGTACAATACATCTCTGTGTGTGTGTGTATAGGATCAGGGGGGAGGTTTTGGCCCACCAGGCTGTACTATTACTACTACTTGGTTTGGAGCACACACACATATTCGAGCTCAGAATCTCTCTCTTTCTACGTCGTCTTTGGCGAGAGAGAATTGGTCATTCGATAGCCCTGGAGTATGCAATATCCATTCTCAAGACTGCCAGTCTCGACTCTTGTGCGCTGCTTCTATATGTACCTTATATATTTTTCTGACAATTTTACCCTTTCTCTCTCTGTTGTTGAGCGTCTAGAGCTTCTTTCGCAGCTTTTTTGCCCTCTATCTATATATAGCTTTTCTTCGCGTAGCTATAATGCAGGCTATCCTCTTTTTACGCGTTCACACAATTTTTTGTCATCCATATTGCTTAATTTAACTTGTCATTCGATCTTCCATACCAAAACCAACGTTCCTTTAAATTATTGGTCAATTTCGCATGCTCTCTGCAAACGAAAACTGCAGAAACTTCCCTTCTTCCGAAAAAGCATAAATTCGAAGGCGCGTGCCGAGCTCGAAGAAAATGCAGAGGTGTAATTCGAGTCGACGCCATGACGATAAGAAGGCCGAGCCTTTTTTAAAGGCATTTCCATATTTGCCATTCGTGAGGCGCCGCGCGGAGGCAGCAGCAGCCTTGGGGCAGGGAAACGAGGACGCCTTCTCCTATCGCCCACGCAGCAGCAGACACCCGCACATACGTATATACGTATAGCTGTGTTTCTCCGCAGACTTATATATAATATATGAAAATTTGATATGCGCGCAACGCCCTCGCGAGCTGCTTTAAAGCCGTTATTGGTCGTCGCGAGCAGGCGAGCGCGCGTCTGCGTCTCTCTCTCTCTCGCACGGCAGCAGGCACCACGGTACATATAAGGAAAGAGAAAAGGAAAGAAGAAAAAAAGCACGAAGCCGGGGTTCGCGCAAGCCTCCCCACCTCACCTTACTTGCCATATATACGTATGAAAAAGCTCTCGCACACCTCGAGATCTCTCTCGCGGGGCGCGCGTACGCCACCCTCTTTGCTCTCTCTCTCTCTCTCTCTCTTTCTTATCGCTCATATTTTCATACTCTCTAGCTGTAGACTATGCAGAGGGGCGTCCCCATTTGAATGCGGTGGTAGTGCTTTGCGCGCGCGCCGCCGCGTTCCGGCGTATTCAACCCTACGTAAGGCAGCGCTGGCGATGGAGGGTTGCAAAGCGAAAGGTGTTTTAAAGTGCCTCTTATTGGCCCATGGGAGAGCGCGCCCCCTTTTTGCACTCTCTCTCACTCTCTCTCCCTCGGCATTATACATATATGTATAGTTCGCCTTTCTCCTTTCTTTTCCGCAGTCAAGGATGTCTTCACGGAGTTCACGGCACTGCTGCGATATGTACATAGAGCGTATATAACAACCTTACCTCCCCTCCAAGCGCCTATGTATATGTGTGCAGCCCGTCCACATTCATTCATCATATACATGCGAGTCCGAGTTCGCAGTGGCCCTCATCAATTCGGATTAACAATTTTTTCGAGGCGCTTGAAAAAACGACGATGATAAAGATTCCTTTGTTGTGTCCAGCCAAGTGATTTTTTACAGCCGAGCGACGCGAAAAGTATCGAATTTGAATGGTGCACGAAAAAAATCATGCCGAAGAAATATATTCACACTGGTGTGCGCTTTACATCGTACTCCTCACTGTGGGAATGTATGTGCGTGCGTGCGTGCGACGATATGCGCGCGAGCCTCTGCGTATGTGTAGTCGAGTGCTAAACCTCCTCCGGTCCCTCTCGCGACGGCGGCGGCGGCGGCGGCGGCGAACACAATCCTACCATTCACGAGTGGCGGCGGCGGAGTGGCTTTCTCTCACCCCCTCTGCGAAAAATAGCTGCGCGCTGCACAACCCCACCATCGTCCACGTCGTAGCTGCCGTCGTCGTCGTCTGACTGAATTTTCCCCGCTTTTCTTCACTCGCTCTCTTTCGCAGGGCTACATATACAAA